CTCTGGACCCCTTTTGGTCTTTGAGGAGGCTTTTTATAAGGTACTCTTTTGTCTTTATGTTTCAATCATTATGAAGAAAAGGATATAATTCGATTATATTAACATTTGTCTGCCTTTCTATCTTCCTGTTCCTCTCTGTTCCATCTGCTGCCTTTCCTGCTGCTCCTTCTTTGTTCTTCCTCATTATCAGTTCTGCCAGGCACAGGGCTTCGAATATCTCACGGGCCGAGTGTGGATCGGGTTCTGGCTCATCTTCATTGTCCTAGTGATCGTGGCAGCTGAGGGAAGCTTCCTTGTGCGCTACATCTCTCCATTCACCCAGGAGATCTTTGCATTTCTCATCTCTCTCATTTTCATCTATGAAACCTTCTCTAAGCTAATTAAGGTACAGATTTAAAGTAACCAAAACCAGCAGGTGCAAGCTATACTACTGTAAGACCTAGTGAGCTGCCTAGCTAGACAACATTTTAAGATGTCAGAGGTGTATTTAAGGTATTTCAGATGTGTAGGCTGTTTTAAAAGGAGTGTATCTCCTTTTTGCCAAATTCAAAGGCAGCATTGTATGCACTGAGAAGGCAAACCCATAATGCACTGCAACAAAACGTCTTCTAAGGTGAATGAGAGAAATGTTAAACATGAATAATGTATTCATTATCAAAAAGTGTCAATTAAACATTGAATTTAAAAACATAAATCTAATTAAAATTGACTATTTTAAAAACATGATTCTAATTAAAATGGACTATTAACCCAACATTTTTGTGTTGTGTAAGGTAATTATATTTTAACTGTTATTATAACTAATTAAATTTATTTTTAAAATAATCTGATTAAAATGGACTATTTTACAAACAGAAATCTAGTTAAAATTCACTACTTTACCCAATATTTTTGTGCTGCGTAATTTTATGCTTATTAGAGTATTGTGCCTTTTAGCAATATGTAACTGCAAGTTGAATCTACCATGCAGTTTTAAAAAGATTGCTATTTGTATGATGCACAGAGTTTCTGATGATGAAGAGTGCTCCAAATCAGTCACTTATGAGTTTGAATTTCAATTAAAGTGCTGCCTATGTAGGCAGAAAAGAAACAATTATTGAGTGCTATTGGAAGTTTTTACAGTTCTGTCATGGCAACTCTCGGAAAGGTTAGTATGGTAATTTATGTGGCAATGTTAATGTTCTTGACAGAGCACGTACCGAGACTTGATACTGTCAATACATCCACAGACATGCTGCTGTGAGCATATAAGAAATGCTGCTGCTGCTGCTGCTGCTGCACATATAACATACATGAAATGATTCGTTGCAGATCTATACAGGTGGAGCTGGGGAAGGTGGAAGGTGCATCGTGTAGATAACGATGTGATTACTAGCAGATTAAGCCTGCACCATCTAGAGTTTCATGACAGAACTTTGTATTTATTGCAAGGTGTGAAAAAACATGCTCATTTATTTAATTGTATTCATTTAGCAGATGCGTGAATCCAAATGAGATTTATACAAATAATTGTGTTATTTTTCCTCAGGTGTTTCAAGAGCACCCTCTGATGAAGAGCTACCCT